AAAATGCCTTGATCTTACTCAGTCATAAAGAGCAATGAAGTTCTGATACATATTGCAACATGAATAAACCTTGAAAACGTTATTCTAAATGAAATAAGGTAGACCCAAAAGTACGAATATTGTATGATCCCACTTACATGAATTATCTAGAATAGGAAATGAAGAGAAACAGAAGTTCATTACTGAATATCAGTTCCTGTTGGGAAAGTGGGGAATTACTACTTAAGGGGTACTCATTTCTCTTTGGGGTGATGATAAAAAATTTTTAAAATAAAAAGTGATGATGATTGTACAACATGGTAAACCTAGTAGTATCGCTGAGTAATATACTTTAAATGGTTAAAGTGACATACTTTTTGTTCCATCTGTTTTTAGCACAGCAAAATCTTTTTTAAAAGCTATGCCTCTGCCCTGCCACCAGCTTTCAGAGGCCTTACCTTTGTCATGATACTTTGCAGGTTTGTGTATGTGTGGGATACCACAAGTAGAAGAATTCTGTATAAGCTGCCCGGCCATGCTGGCTCCATCAATGAAGTGGCTTTTCACCCCGATGAGCCCATCAGTAAGTCTGTCCTGACTATGGGGAAGGGGGAGCTCTGGAAATCTGGTAATACAGAGGCAGAGATGGACATCTGTTTTATGTAGTTTCCATGCAGTCATTACAAGTATCTATCGTTGACAGTCTCACCATGTTGTCTTAGGTGGTGAGGGTAAGAGCAATGTTCCCTTTTTTCCTCCATCTCAAAGGGAGGTTGGTTAGTCTATTTCTAGTTACTTCAAGTTTATTTGCTTCAGGACTATGCTTTAATGGTGTGTTTGTATAAGAGAATGAGGTTTCTTAATATTTAGATGTAAGTTGCAGACCTTCTTTAATTTGATTGGCTAGCTAAACCAAATAATCTAGGGCCTTGAATTTAAGAATGTTTAACTTTCTCCAAGACTAAGTATAACAACCAGAAACATTTACGAAATAACTGGTCAGGCATTAATTCTTCTAGAATGACTGAGAAGGTCTTTTTCTTAGGGCTTGATTGGCAGGTTGTTATTGTTAGTTGCCATGAGTCAATTCTGACTCATAGTGACCCGAGCTGTGCAGAGTAGAGCTGCTATTGGGTTTTCAAGGCTGTGACCTTCCAGAAGCAGATCACCAGGCCTGTTTTCCAAGGTACCCCTGGGTGGGTTGGAACCAACAACCTTTCAGCTTATAGTTGAGCATGTTTGTGCCACCCAGGAACTCCATGACTGACAAAGGACAGCATGAATTAGAGCCTGATAATTTATTTCCCGAGAAGCTCTGGTGGCATAGTGCCTAAGGTATTTGACTGCTAACCAGAAGGCTGGTAGTTCAAACCCACCAGTCACTCCTCAGAAGGAAGACTGGGCAATTTACTTTCATAGAGATACTGCCTCAGAAACCCAAGGAGGGGTCGCTATCAGTCAGGACCAACTCCACAGCAGTGAGTTTGGTTTGCTTTTTGGAATGTGTTTCCCAAAGCACAGTCACTTCATGGGTTTGAGAGATCTTGGGTTAAAACACCAGATTATACTTTCACATGAATGGTGTTTGGGAAGAGAGGAATTTAAGCTAAATCCAGTTGGTCTTCTATACCAAAATTGACTCTTGATACAAAGGCCTTTGAGTACCCAGTCTCTTTGAGCTTTCATTATTTCCAGTTATCTTTTCTGTTCTGTTCACCTCAGTTCTCTCGGCATCCAGTGACAAGAGACTATATATGGGAGAGATTCAATGAAGATAAGGAATGGAAGACTCCAGGGCAGCTTGACCTTGAGACCTCGGACTGTAAAAGTGACATCAAATGATGCCCAGGCCAGCATCCTCCCTTCAGATGAAGACCATTACTAGCAAGAAACAGAGGAGGAAGTGGCCATATTCCACTGACTAAATGTATCCCATTTCACCAGGATGATTAAGGCAAGCTCCGAGTGGCCTCTCAAAACTGCCTGCCAGATTTTAGGGACTGTTTTTTTATTTTTTTAATAAGACTTCTTTTAAGGGGTTGACATTGGTTTGTAGTTTCCAATTTTCAGATCCAGACTGAAGAAAAGGAATGTGGCTGAAATTTGTCGGCTTTTTTGGTTGGGAATTTTTTTTTTCTTTCTTTCTTTCGTTTGGGTTTTTTTTTTTTTTTTTTTTTTTTGATTTGGCAATGGGCTTGTATGATATTTTCTTCCTGTGTTTTTCCAAATCATTTTGTATTAAAAGCCAAATAGTTGCCTTTTTACAAGAACCATGTGGATTGGATTTATTGTTGTCTTTTCTTTGAGGCTTGATCACTGTAAATCAGACCAGGGCATGGTGTGGCCACTTAAACTATTTATTTGGATTTTTTTTTCATTGTCTGTGTTTTTAGGTCTACTCACTCCTATGAAAATAACACAGATAATAATTATTTATCAATAACAAATACTTTTCTCCTGCTAGAAGCAAGAGGTATGCATAAGGTCTAAAAGAACCTAGTTCTTGTGTACCAGAACACAGTCTTTAATGAACAGACCCTGTGGCTAATCTGTCTGTTGCCAGAAGCACTTTTCAGAGCAGCACTCCCTATACTCAGGATTCCTGAAGTGGGCAGATTTGCGGCAGCTCAGCTGGTGAAAATGAAATTGCCTGAAATGCTGCATCAAACTCAACTTCAAAAGGAATATGAGAAGTTTAGGTGGAACCAGACCATGACACTGTCTGAGACTTTATAATGATACTATTTTATTTGTCTCTTTCCCTATACTGACAGAGACATTAAGAAATGCTATTAGTTCCCTTTTTCCTCTAGGACAGGTTACTGTCTCCCTGCATCATGAGTGACTGGTCCAGCACACAGACAGCACTAATGAATCCCATCTGGCACCGGAGAGTGGAGTGTGTCTCTTTTGAATCATGTATCTCAGAACAAAGAGGTCTTCACAGTCCCTACTTGTTCTGAGCAGGTTTGATTTTCTGCTTTTAGCTCAAAAACTGTCATATGTTTTTCTTGAGTTGTAAGAGAAGACAGGCATTATACTTGGTTTGTGGCATGTGGCAGATATGAAGGTTGTTGCTGGGAACAGAGATAAAAAAGGCACTGTCTTCGCCATCTCAGGAAATGCATAGAGCAGTGGAAAAGACCATCTCAAATCAATTAATTTTTTTTTAAGTGAGCACATATCAAAGATTTACTTAACTCATTAATGTAGGAACCAGCAGGATAGTAAAGCTGTCAAACCGATTACTTTTAATACGGTGAATGAAGTTTAAATAAAGTGTACTGGATGCATCGGAGGAAGCAATTTATTGTGCCTGTGAGAGAAAAGGAAGTTTCACAGATTGTGTGATTATGTTTAGATTAGGACTTAGAGAGTGAGTAGGACTTTGCCAGGTAGACAAAGAACATGTGCATCCGAGAACAGCAGGCACAAGCCTGAAAGCATAGAGTGTTTGATGTGCTAGAGAACTGAAGTGTGGCTAGGGGTAATATATATATAGTGGTGCCATTAACCAGGAGAGATTTTGCCAAACATGGCATGCAAGCTGTTCTTCACGCCTCCAACACTGTCACAGGTGACTCCCTAAACTCTTTGAAACATGGCATCCACATGCCTCAAAATTAGCCAAGTTCCTTAAACCTCCCCCTACCGTTTTTCTTGGCTGGGGATAAATCGAGGCTTAAACCTTGACACTGCACTTTTAAAAGCCCACCAGTCCCTTGAGAAGTTGGCAATGATTGGGAAGAACCAAAGCCCTGGAGACTACAAAAGGGCTTTCCTTTAACCTCAGTTTCTTCAGTCCTCCCAAGTGCCTTCTTCAAAAGACTGAGTAGGAACCATTAGCAGGAAATAACAGCACTACATAGAATTTGAAGGGAATAGAGGCCTTGAGCCTGGGGAATAAAGATTCTGTATAAAACATCCCCAGAGGGTACAAATTATATTCTCACTTTGGGAGAGATAGATTGCTCCCGAATGAGTAATGGTATCTCAGGTTTTCAGTTAATTTCCCTTTATGACTTCCACAGTCTCTAGCACTTAATACTGTTGGCACTTAAAGAGCCAAATTTCTTTTTTACCGGGTGGTTGAGTTTTGTAGGCTGAATTGTCAGAAAGGTGAATTTTCAGGTTATTTTTCCATGTAGGTTTTGGCCAATGTGATCTCTCTTTCTCCTCGTCTGTAGTCCTAATCCATCTACTCCTAACCTTCCAAACAGTTTATTTACAAGCTAACCCTTCAAAACACAAGTTACTGCTATCTTCCTTCACCTACTCTCCCTGGTTATGTGGGGATGGTTGACCCTTTCTCAGGCAGGAGAAGCAAATCTCTGGAGACCTTCATGAGCCTGGTGGAGTTCTACAAGGATGAAACTTACAAGGAGCCAGATCTAGGTTTCTAGATGTTGTGTACTGCTCCAAGCAAACAGATAACAGGAAGAGTTGCTTGTTTCAAGGACAAAAAAAATCTTGGCCAAGGACTGGGGACCTGGGGAGCAGCCAGAAAGGACAGGTCAAGGCTCTTACCAGAGTTGCTTCTTGACAACAGAACTACACAAAATATTTGCTTCTCACTTTGAAAGCCCTAAAGTCTGCTACTTGTTTATATCACAAGGTAGGTGGGTGGGAAACAGAAAGCTCTGACTAATAGGGGCTTGGGAGTAGTTGAGCCTTAGGGAAAGGCTGTAAAGCTATTTGGATTAGAAAAGGATTGCTTCTTCAGAGAGATCTTGGGCTTGACAGCTGATGTCTCAGTTCAGAGAGAGGCCAGTCTGTGAGGTCAAATGAAGTCAAGTCTGAGCTCTGAACCTACCCTCAGTTGTGTCTGTGCCACAGACCCATAATGACCTTTCTCTGAAGAAATGCTCAGTGGGTGCCCTCCTTCTTTGCATCAAGCCCTGGCCTAGACTTGAACTTGCCTCATTTCTAAGATTCAGCGTCCTTTCCTCACTTGTCTCTGCAACCCACCTGGACTCTTGGATTCTTCTTTAATTTATACTCTTTACGACAGTGGTTCCCAACCTTGGGTGATTATGCTTCCCAGGGAACGTGGAGACATCTTTGATTATCGTAACTAAAGAGGTGCTACTTTCATCTAGTGGGTTAAAGCCAAAAATGTTCAGAGTATTAAACTCCAAAAAAGAAAAACCAAACTCACTGCCATTGATTCAGTTTGACTCATAGCGACCACTCCTTGGGTTTCTGAGGCAGTATTTCTATAGAAGTAGATTGCCCAGTCTGCCTCTAAGGAGTGGCTGGTGGGTTTGAACCGCCAGCCTTCTGGTTAGCAGTCAAATGCCTTAGGCACTATGCCAACAGAGCTCCAAAATTTCGTCAGTGCTGCTATTGGAATCCCTGCTGTAAAGCATTGATTCTTAAAAGTCTGGTCCCTGAAAAAAAAAAATAAAAAAGTCTGGTCTCTGGACCAGCAGCATCACCTGACGACTTGTTAGAAACACAAATTCTAACACCCAGGTTCTACTGAGCAGAATCTGGGGGGTGCGGAGAGGAGGGGGGTTGTTCAGTGATCTACGGTTTAACAAGTCCTCCAGATGATCGTGCAGTTTTGAGAACTATTGCTCTAGAGGCCCAGAGAGCTTAATCTTTGCTAGGAGAGCCTCCAAGTCTTCTGCTTACTTCTGCTGTTCTTTTTGACTTAGTGCTGTATATGCATTATTTCACTTGATTCTTACATACAGGGCAAAAGGTTCAAAGAGGAGAGGTAACTTGCCCAAGATCATCCAGCTAGTAAGGATGTAAACCTGCTGAAGCTCTTAGCCGATCACCAATGTCTAGGCTTTTAGTGACCGTTAACCTTGACAGCACATTAGAATAACATGGGAAGCCTTTAAAACTCCAGATGTTTAGGCCATACCCCAGACCAATTAAATCAGAATCTTTAGGATGGGCATCAGTATTTTTTCCAAAGCATCCTTAGGTGATTACAATGTACTACAGCCAACCTTGAGGACACTGGTATTGGCCATGGCTATAACTGTAGCCAGGAGGGCAGCTTAAAGTCAAACTGACTTCCCCTGCCACCCCTGGACTCTCAAGAAGACCAACTGCTCTGACAGGTGCTCAGTGTGAGCTTAAGAACACATCTCCCAACAGAAGAGCAGTGTTTGCACAAGGAGATAGCTCCAGGGACAAGAATGCATAAGAAAGAAGGACACAGGGAAGAGGGAATTACAGGGAGAGCTGTTACATTGTGGGGAATTACCAACAATGTCATGAACACATTCTCCCAAAGCTCATGACTGAGCTAAGGCTTTTAGGAGGTTGACCAAGAGAGTGGAGAGACTGACCCATTGCAGTCATCTCTGCCTGGTGGGACCATGAGGCTTTGGAGATAAAAACATTTCTTCAAAGCCCCAAGAATAACATCCAAAGGTGCTAGAGCTGGATAGGACCTTGTAGGTCCTTGGATCATCTGGTCCATCCTTGTTTTACAAAGGGGAAACAGGAATAGTTTTCCAAGCTCACATGCATATCAAGTTAGTGGTAGACCTAGAGGCTAGGTCCATTGTTCTTATTCAGGAAACATTTATTAAACACCCCATGTCCCATGCTGGGCTCTGAGAACACAGAGATGACTTGAGTCATACCCAGTCACAGGCTAGGGTAGGAAGAGTGGGCAGAAGGATAAGAGAGAAGTAAAAATCAGAGTTTCCCACACTATTCTCCACAAGTGTCCTTATAATCCTGAAATTAATTACCTTAAAATCTTATCTGGAATCTGTAAATTATGATTCCCTCCCCTCCCAGCTTT